CCTTCTGTATCTCAACGCAGCCTTCTGTATCTCGACGCAGCCGTCTGTGTCTCGGCGCAGCCGTCTGGTGTCTCGGCGCACCCGTCTGTGTTTCGGCGCAGCCGTCTGTGTTTCGAGCAGCGTTCGGCACAGTACCGTGCTTCAGCTGTCAGGGTGTTCGGAATGTCTTCTGCCTCTTATGCGATCATCTTTAAAAAAAAAAAAATGTTGGTGTCTAGTTAAACTGTTCACTCGTGATCGTGAGCACTGCCTTGAAAGGTCGCGTCTCCTCCATAAAATACCATGACGATTGCTCGATATCTTTGCTTGAACTGGGCGCAGCGTGCTATATTGATGGCCGGTTACTCTCACTATGACACTATAATTGTCGCTTTCTCTGCACGCAGCATTAGTGCAAACTGACCTCGATTATGGTACACTCACTATGATGCGGATTTATTGCCTCCTGCGCCATTTTATTGCTGCGCGGCGCTCGTTGACCTCCAGGTCACGCCTGCGGAGGACGCATAAGGCCGACAAGACCAATGGTCTTGGCCAATGGCTTATCAATCTCCCTTTCAACGTACTGTTTGCGGACCTGCCTCAAATAGGCCAGTCCAAACAAGCAAGCTGCATTGACGTAGCCGATGTGAACCTTTTCACTCAAGGAGAATGCGTTATGAGCTCCGGCCTCGGACAAGTCAGCTTGTTTGCCTACTTGAGGACTAATTTATATTCTACAAGAGGCTAGACAGGAGGGCAAGGACAGCATGACAAGCCAGCTTCAGCATTGTTGGGAGAGCCGGTCAGGGGTCATTGTCACAAAGTGTTGCAACCCACCATTAGGCCACATAGTAGCCAATGACACACGCCGGTCCAGTTAGCTTCCTGCGACGATTGCGCCTGGCGGTGCGCTTTATGGGGAGGGTCATGCTAGTTCGTCGTGGCATGAAACATTGCCGGCTTTTAGCACCGCGACCTTTAAAATTAATCTTTCAGAGTACATGGTCTAGGACTCTGGCTCTTTTTGCATCCACCGCTTTGCATTGATATCCTAGATTATCTCTGAACAGGAAGCTGGGTCGTGCTTCGTCTGACAAATTGATTGTTCATGATACCAGTATAACAGCTTTCGAGGCCTGTAAACTGCGACGCCTCTAGAAGGCGTGAACTCCCGCGGTTGTCGAATAAAACGAGTGACATAATGTCACAAGAAGGTTTGAAGATCCACAGTTGTTAAGAAAAATGTCCCAGTTGCATTTTTCTCTGTCTGTCAATGTTTGAAGCACCTGTCTCTAGTACGTCAAATACAATCCAATTTCAGCTAAAACTATCAGTAACATGGCTGCGAGTGCTTGACGACGTACGATTAGGATATTTGTGGTCAACATTAGTGTTCGTGTTAGCAGTGTACTTTTTTATTCAATCATGTCGCTCTGCCCCTTAACCCCCAGCACCCTCCATCAACCCATCTACCTACCCTAACTCTTAGAACAACGTGGGTCAGATCTGGAAGAAGCCCATGCCGTCGGATGTTTTGTGGTGGGTCAAGTCATTTTTCAATGATCAGCCCGTAACATGTGCTGCGTAGGTATACCCCTGGTTTGGATTACGGCCAGGAGTACCTGGAAATTATTAAGTGCGAAGCATGATGCATGTAATCACGCTTCATTTCATGGTTTAATTCAAACAAAATTTCAACTCCCATCCTTCTTTCACAGTGCTAAAACACAAATACATGTTCTTAGGTGCCATTTCAAATGGCACTTAGGAACATTTATGTGTGGGGTAAAAACTTCGAACTTACAAATGGTAAAAAGTTGCGTGAAAAACATAGCCGCGTCCACAGGGTCAAAAACCGCCTAACATCAGGGCAGTTGATCGTATATGGGCAATTGGAGGGGATTGTGTGGCGTGGTTGGACCCATTCATGCCTCTCGCTGTTGTTCGCACCGCTACTGCACGGGCTCACGGCCACGTGCCGTCTGGAACAGATATTACCACTCCGCTCTGCTCAATTAGTGCGTGCAGGGTAAGTGTTCTTGTGTTCTGTGCGAAGGTGTCTAACACCGCTGGCCTCTCGCCTCTGTTGGCCTGCCTGTCAGTTGTCCTTTGTAAGCTTTGCTGCACTGCTCGTCCATGCGTCCCTATTCCGCTAAATACGCCTGAGCCAGGTCCAGTGCAGGTGGTATTGGCATTACTGCCCGTTACTTTACAATGCATTGTACTTCATTAGGATTAATTTGTTGTGACTTAAATTTCGTCTCCATGCGTTATTCTGTTATAGGTAATAGTCAATTTGTTTTGTTTGCATTCCTTGTGTTAGTTTCTTTGTTATTGATTCGCTATTATCACCATCACTCGTGACAAACGCCACGTGATGGGACGCCCCGAGGTCTCGGCTATGCCTGGTTTTGCGTATGACCAAGTCCGACGCCAATAGCCAAATCTCACAGCATGCCGTCGCAAACAGCCAACGGTACTCCTGAGTAGTGCTTGGTGAGCGAAACGCCGTACGGTCAGATGCTCCGTGTGAATATAAAATCGTGCTTTTTGTAGCTGCTGGTAAGCAAGACCCTAAACCATTCACACGAATAAGAAGTCAATAAACGCCCAAAGGGCAAGACATTCTGAATGCAGCTGATCAGAGGAGACCACGGATCCCGCCGGAAGCCATCTAATTGTCCGTGATCCCAGCGTCGGTGTTCACATAATCCAAAATTGCAACATCCAGCCTTCATAACATCCAAAATGCGTCCTATTTGGTTCCCATTGATGGAGTTCATAACATCCAAACTTGTGAAGTTCAAAGTCATGACATCCAATGTTCATTACGTTCGCGACCAAAACGTCCAGTTAGTTTTGATTTCTGACGCTAGATGACACTACATTGCCATATTCGTTTCTTCTCCTAACACTTGATAGCACTACGATCTCATGTTTTCCTCTTTTGTCAACAGAGGGCTTAGTCAACCCGACCATGTTAGCTGGTTCAACCCACGTCCATGTCGTAAGTAGTCAAACATGGTTAGCACAAATCACCTACTGGATGATATCAACGCTGGATATTATGAACTACGATGTTACGATTTTGTGGGCTGCGAGCCTGAATATTGTGGGTTTTCTTCTATCCAGGGCATTGGACCATTTTTGGAAGTTAGGTACGCTGGAAGATGCGACTTGAGGTGTTGCGACCAATGGGTATTATGAACTCTGGATGTTTCAATACGCATTCACCCTGCCACAGTCTTCAACGCAACCGTGTACATTTTGTAGAGTACAAACGTATATTACTCATTCCATTTCCTCAAGAATGGCTGACATGAGACATCGCAAAAGCCCTACAATGAGCATGAGTTCTCTGGATGATCAGTTCGACAGTCAAGCACATCCATTGCCCAAACAGCACTGTTTAGGTACCACTCACACATCACACACATGGCGTGATTAGTACGCTGTGCAGTGACGTCACTGGAGCGCCGTCCAACGGCCGGCTAAATGTCGGCAGTTGTCAATCACGGAGCATGACGACGGTCACATGAGAGTTCACAGCATTGTGCCCTCTCCCAAACACGCTTGAGCACTCTTTTTGTGACCTGCAGCGTAATTTGCGTCCGTAACAGCATGAGTCACACGAATACTGTAATTTCGCGATTCAATTTAGTGCTCCGTGTCTCCCCCCCCCCTCACCCCTCCATCACCGCACAACCGCAGAAAAGCATATATGTTGCGCCTTGGAAAATTTACTGACCGCCATTGGTTTGTGGAGAGGGTGGCACATCAGCCCAGTGACACGTGGTACCAGTTCCAAGATAGGCGTGTTGTTTCATCCGACTAACATGGAAAATCGGCTGGCATCTGGCCCCCAGCCTGGCCAGGATTTGCAGTGTGGTTTGACACTGTATGACACGTAACGCTATCCGCGCCCCCGTCTCAAATAAGGCCGAAGACACAATTATACAATGAACTGGATTAAACCATCTTGGTTAGCGACTCCCGACCTCACAAAGCCACGCATGCTTGGTGAGAGCCCAGAATCCAAACCAGCATGGCAAACCTTGCGAAATGTCACTCAAAATCAGGTGTATTTGCCATCCGTGATGTTAGTCTTCTGATAAGATGTTTGAAGAAGACGCCAAAAGCAACATCTAAATGTGGCCGCAATTTTCGCTACGTTAGATAGCTTGAGTACATCACTGCTAACTTTTAGAGTGATGCGTAGTAACTGCATTTACTTTCAGCAAGTTATTGAAATGTAATTTGGATATGGCTCCTAAATGTCAAGCAGTTTGTTTTCTCTTTTCGTCAATCCTTCACAAATTATACTCATTGCGTTATCTGGGTTGCTGATGAAAAGTGGTGCCTTTCAAAGGATCGTTTCGCAATGTGCACTGCATTTATTTCGCGGTTTTCAATGCTAAAAAATGGTTCTTGTTATTCATGCAAGGGGTATCGCCTCCGTATTCTTGTCCGTCGGTCATCCACCCACATATACAACTGCAGGTAAAGATGTTTTGCAACTGGTTTCTCTAAAAACAAGCAATACATTTACTACGTGTACTGCTCAGATTAGGGTATAGTTCACGCAATGTCGTGGCCTAACTCTTTCACGTGTATACTGAGCCTTACGATCCTGATTATTATCGCAGCATCGGCACCCGAACCCCAGAATTCAAGGATGCTCTTGCTCTTGACTTTACTTCAAAAACGTCCACCGGTGCCGTGGGTAGGATGGTCTAGATGTCGCTACCAGCAAGCTGCATGCTGCGTAGGAAAGACTCCAGGTATATAACCGCAGCGAATTCAAAACCTGAAAATGACAGATGCACGTTTAAATGCTTTGAGGCCCTCACTTTGCCTTAGAAAGCAAAATATTTGACTTATTATACCACAGTTTACAGCTATTCTCGCAAAGACCTGCATGCTCGAAGCCGGAATCGTAAACGTCAAGGAGTAAAGTGATACAGGAGGTAGAACACCAAAGTGCGCTTTTCATAGCCCAGACTTGACGTGACTCAGTCCTAAGACGACAGCACTGTCAAGTCAATACGAACGCCAACGGAAGAGCCATCCCTGTCGGACGTGACCACCGGCCGACAGGTCCGCACACCCGTGCTCTCCCTGTCGGACGTGGTCACCGGCCGACAGGTCCGCACACCCGTGCTCTCCCTGTCGGACGTGGCCACCGGCCGACAGGTCCGCACACCCGTGCTCTCCCTGTCGGACGTGGCCAACGGTCGGCAGATCCGCTCACCAGTGCTCACCGCCGATGGTTTCGGCCGCGGCCGCGCCGACGCGCCGTCGACGCTATACAGAGCTCTCGTCGACGGGCACGGACCGTGGCGCCGTCCTAGCCTGTGTGCCGCCTGCCGGCGGGAGGCCCCAGGCGGGGTGAGGCGGCGGGCGCGCGGCGGGCGGCGGCGGCGGCGGCGGCACGCCCCGCAGCACACAGCTGTGCACCAGCGGCGCCAGTGGCAGTTGGTTGGTGCTCTGCACGCTGCACGTGCGGGGCCTCGCCAACGTCGCGCTGGTGCGGACCGCGGACAGCTCGCAGCAGTCGGACGTGTTCAACGGCTGAAACGGCAGGCGATATCGTAGAGTCGCAGTCTCGCCAGACAGCGGCTAGTAAACTATGCTATGAGGCAGACTGTCAGTCATAATGCAAGAAACAAAGCTAAATTATTTATGATATTGTACGGGACAGGACAGTACACGCATAAAACGTTACACAACACATTTACCAAAAAACACCCAAGTTCGCAACGCAATGGGTCATTTGGAATAAAGCACCTTACAAGTTTCTCAGCAATATGGATCAACAAGAAAGCTTCCAGAGCACTCACGGCTCGTCTCATCAGGTCATATGGGCAGCGGGCATGCTGACAGCCCATCCCCTGCCGATCTCGATCTGCGCGCACGACGACGGGCTCCAAACTCACGCCATAGAGGTGCTGGTGGCGGGGCCCGGTTCGCGGCAGTGTGGACCTTCCCGACGACCCCGCGGCTCTCACGTCACGCGCATTATGCTGGATCGTGTGGCACGTGCCGGGCGGCACGAGCTCCAGCACGGGCAGCTCCTGCTCTGTGGGTGGGCACATGTGGCGGTAGCAGCAGGGTGGCTCCAGCTGGCGTACAGGACAGTTGACCAGCATGACCTGCTCTGGCAAAGCACTGGTCACGACCTGCGTAACCCGACACATGTTTAAGTGTTTTAAGGACTTTAAGGCGCTTTCCCAATGCCGTAGCTCGCAAGATCAGGAAAATAGAAGAAGCATAGATGCACTAAGTCTCTCTGCTAATCCAGCTGACCTTGATAATTGCTATGCACTATGCTGCTATGTTCAGCGGCGCCAATGTAATGCAGTTGAACGCGATCTGTCCCATACCACTTTTTTAGGGTCTAGAATACTCACTTTCCGTGATCAAGGAATTGTGAGGTGCTTATCGAACAAGGATTAAAAAAACCGCAAGAGCTAAAATATGTGATAACAATAGTTTTGGGAGGGGCACAGTCCTAGCAGCAAGGGAGTCGCCTTGCAATGGCTTCAAGCTGCCGGTCGGCTAGAATATAAGTGAAACAAAGGAGACAAAGAACACACGGAGCAAAATATTATGACCAAATACAAGAGTGCCAATCGCGCGACAGCAACCAGCGTACATGTTATGAGCCGGCGAGCAAGTCATCAAACATAAAAAAATTGACGAACGAGCGGCTGGGCTCTACATAGTCTTCATATTATGCACTAAAAATAACGAAATAAAACAAATAAAACAACGAAAACGTCCAGATTGGCTTGGATTATTCACGAATTTTCCTAACTACCAGCGTTGCCTAGATAGCACTGCCGCGCAGGAAGGTACTTTTCCACTAAAGATCTTGTGCCGGAAAACTATTGGCCGTTTGCGAGGAGGAAGTCATGCCAGCTTCTCCATCAGAGGAAGTTATATTTTAAATCCAATGGATGTCATAGATCTCTCCCCGGGGTCAGTCAAACTTTGGCCGCTCTGTCCGAAATCAATATCCAAGCCGTCTCCGGCAAATTGATCAAATATTTCCGGACATTAAGTTACTCTAATGTACCGTCATCCATCAGGTTGATATTGGACATGTGCTTCAGAATGTCTGAGCAGCCAACCCAACAGCTCCTGCTGCGCTTAGACTCCGGTGCAGCCAACGGTGGCAGGATATGCACCAAAGACTTCCTCCCGTCTCTTCCATCCCTCCCCGTATCTGATGATAGGACACGCTGTCTGCCGCGGCCCAATCAGTTCTCGACAGGACGGCGAGGTCGCGTCAGTCACGTCCCACGGCACGTTCCACCAGCGCCAATCTAGCGTTCCTTCCCATCCTCGCTACACAGGGCAACTGTGGATCACTTTCTGCTCTCCTAAACAGAGCATGGATCCATCCCCGGAACGTAGCCGTGCGTGATGTCCGCTACCACCATAGCAGGCTCAATACCACTGGCCACCGTAGCACACGGATCACCGAACGTTTACCCGCGAGCGGCCGATTCTGCCCAGCCCCATTTGGCAATCAGCCGTTTGCGAAACGATAGGTAAACAATGCCAGAGGTCAGGTGAGGTCAGCAGAGATGCATGCGTTGTATGAGGCGCGAATATGGCGCTTACATTTATTATTTTATAGTACTGGCATACCCATCATTTGTGCCGATCCTCTTTACGCTACTTTATCCGGTTCATGACCGGTTAAATACAGAATGTGGTCGGTCATGAATCAATGCATCACCAAAATCCAGCCCACCGTCTATCCGCAACGCGGAGCGACACGCATGCCTGTAACCACGACCTACCCCGTCCCATCACCCCACCGGTGTCCGGCACCTCTCCGTCGCCAGCCCCGCTTCTCCCGCTCCGGCTCGTCTCACCATAGTAGGGCTGCACGCTGGCGGCGCGACTTCGGCCGGCGGGGGTCTGCCCGGCCGCCTTGTCGGTCGGGCGAGCGGCCGGCGGCGGCGGTCGCCCGGCAGCGCGGCGCCGCACCAGCACCAGCACCAGCACCAGCGCCAGCACCACCAGCACGCCGGAGCCAGCGGCGATCAGCAGCAGCGTCAGTGGCGTCACGGCCAGCGGCGGCCCGGACCCGGCTGTGAGTGGACACAGTGAGACGTGAGGCCTTACACCGGTACAGCGGGTGAGCCGGCCCGGACCCGGCTGTGCGGCGTGAGTGGACGCGGTGAGACGTGAGGCCTTACACCGATACAGCGGGTGAGCCGACCCAGACCCGGCTGCGTAGTGTCGAGGGGTGCAGTGAGATGGAGATGCCGCAAGGAGAACACGCTAGATGCGGTGAGGCTGGAGAAACGGATAGAAAGAGGGATGAGGTCAGACAGCTGAAAACAGCATGTGTGCTAAATGTGAATACAGCACAATGAAGAACTTTTCACCATGCTACGAGAGAAGAAGTATCGATCGCTGCATAACCCAATAGCCACCTGAATTCAAAATCACCGGGCAGTGTCCGCCATGGTGGTAACGCACCCTTCAGTGACCCGTCGATGACCCTCTCCGTCCGCCGTTCTGCCGCGTCCCTCGGTGGCTGCGGCTCCATCAGCATCGGCTTGCTGCGTCCCTTGGCGTTCACCGCGTATATCATAATCTGTTGACCAATTATCCTATGCGGTGAAACTGTAGACATTGCCAGGTGTGTGCAAATGCATAGATTTTCCAAATGCTGAATGACGAATGTGGCGAGAGCCGTGGAACATTCCAGTGGTGTCCATGATACATGGCTGCGAAGACGTGCTGAGCTGAGAGTGGTCTTGGCGGTGGCTGCAATACATGACGGAGAGGTTACTGAAGTGAGGCTCGATGTGATACATGGCTGCGAAGACATGCTGAGCTGAGAGTGAGCTTGGTGTGGCTGCATTATATGACAGAGAGGTTTCTGAAGTGAGGCTTGATGTGTAAGCCGTGGGATATAAAATACAAAATAGAACAGAGCACAGCAGGTACTCAGACCCGTTGACACATGCAGGCTGTTCACAGGGGTCTAGTTTCTTATTTATCTGGGGGTCGGGGATAAAGGGGTGGGTGTGTGGGTTCCAGCCTACACTCCGGGAGGAAGCTGGTTTCTATGGTAGTTTTTAGAGGTAGGTGACGACAACACTGCTCCACTTGGCTGGCCGGTCTCTGCACGTCCCACTGATCTATGTCTTTTTAATGTTATACGACACGAGGCACTTTGATACCTTCGTCGGTTTTAGGTTCACACCGTCAAAGCTGATCGTTTTTCGCGAGGCCGCAGTTTCGAAAAATATGATTTTTATTTTTTCGCTTGCCGACGACATTTCACCACGTCAGAAGCGAGCCACGCAGAAGATGAAACGCAAAAAACGCCCACGATCTCTCCTTCTGGCACGACGGCTCAGAGAAAGGGTTTTTCCCGGGAGCGGAAATAACAGCGCAACATTGCGTGAAGGGGAAGTCGTAATCTAATGCAACCTACACGCGAATCGCGCTTAAAAGAAAGCATGTCTGCCTTTGCACAGTCTTCAGCCGCGGGTGTGCCAGTTCTTTCCCATACTTACGTCTGAGAGCCTCCAACTGATCCGTGCCAGACTCCCTCGAGGCCAAGCCTCTCTATCGAACCTCTGCACGCCTCGGAGGCGGACGCCCCGCCGCCCCCAGACTCGCCGCGCTGCTGGCCCTGGCCGCTGACCTGGTAGAGCGCGTCACCGGGCGGTCGGTGCACGATGAAGCGCGGCGAGGCGGCCGTCACGTTGTAGTGAACCCGGCCGGCGGCGCCGCGTAGCTCCAGCACAAAGCGCTGCGGCAGGCCGCCGTCGCCGCCCGAGCGGCACTGCACCGTCAGCGAGCCGCTGCTGCTGTTGTGGGAGGTGCAGCTGGAGGGAGGCTCCGGCACGTCTGGGGAGCGGCACTGCACCGTCAGCGAGCCGCTGCTGCTGCTGTGGGAGGTACAGCTGGAGGGAGGCTCCGGCACGTCTGGGGAGCGGCACTGCACCGTCAGCGAGCCGCCGCTGCTGTTGTGGGAGGTGCAGCTGGAGGGAGGCTCCGGCACGTCTGGGGAGCGGCGGGGGCAGATGAGGGACGTCCCAGAAACGGGAGGTCGCGTCGGGGCACGGCAGGTCGGGGCGAAATAGGGGTTCTCCGCTTGTCAGAGGTCAAGTCAGGAATGCAGCAGTGTAGGCTGGGGTCGGACCATTTCCATGAGGCTGTTTTCGTCTTCTTGAAGTCCGGCCAAGAAAGGCCAGTGACTCGGTCGCTTCCCTTGCGCAAAGCGGCAGGTCACGCGAGCAAGGTTAGGCCAGCGATGGCGGGTAGTGAGTGGACTGCCGTGGGTCAGACCGAACCTGATCAGACGGAATCCAGTCTTGTGCCGGGCGGCTTTGGGTTGCCAAGGTGATCTCATCGGGTGATCTCATCAGGAGTTAGGTAACGTCAGCTCAGATTACGCCCAGCAGGGGAAAAGTTCTGTTGACTGATTTCCTTCTACAATTATTTCGGAGCTACTTTCCAACACTACTATTTCTGGCTGCGAAAGAACATCCGTCCTTTAACTCTCTTCGCCTTTGATTGGGACGGTATCCTATCACCACTTCATCAGCGATCTGGCAATATCGTTGGCGGTGCTTGGCCAGCACGTTTCGATCGCTTCGAGGCTGGGAAACATGGCAAGGTGGTGGATAGTTTTGCACGGGACCTGTTGTCCTCGACGTCCTCTCGTCTAACACAGACCCGGAGTTCCAGACCGTCTGCACTCCGGTCAAAAGGCGAGTGTCGGAGGACGTTCGGCCGGCGGTGGATTGTTCCAAGTAGCCTCTACCCTATGTCCGGGCAGTGAGCGTGGCGGGCTGAGCGGGCTGAGCTTGCTGCAGCTCGAGGGCAACTCCCAACCACCAGCTCGCATACGGCCAAAACAACGGGCACGCACTCGACAGATAACCGCGTAACGCGAACACGGAACAATGAACGACCGAACCGCTCTGCTCGTTACGTGGCGTGAACTTTGAATGCACGGATACGCGCGAACGGCCCCTGGCTGATGCGGCATTAACGTTTGGCTGGGATGCGGCAGGAAGCGGGTTAAAGATCACGAGGTCGATCTGCCGCCATGCGGCAACGCATGTCACATCTGTCACCATTTTATGGATGTAGCTCATTAACACCACACCGCTGTCGCCACCTAGACGCATACGACCTGTCATCAATCGTCTGGGACCTATAATGTCACTACACGGGTGGAGCGGTCAGCACAGTGCAGCCGAGACGAGACCGTCGTGTTCGATTCTCAACAAAACATAGCTAAACAACAAGCATCAAAAGCGCCCACGGCGCGAGTGGACATATCTGCCTCGCTGCAGACCGCCGCTGGTCTGGCCGTACTGGCGGGCACGATGTGGAAGACGCAAGGCTGGCGCTGGAGGCCGACGCGGTTCTGCGCCCAGCACAGCACCGTGCCGTAGTCGAGCTCCGAGCGGGGGACGTAGTCGGCCGTACTCCAGCTGCCGTTGACCCTGCAACGGCGGCAAGCGCTACAGTACACTCAACGAAGAACGGTGTGTTGCTGGTGCAGAAAGGCAGGTCTCAAGGGATGCTCATGTGCTGAGCTGAGTTCAAAACCGAAAAAGGCGGTGCGGACCTTGTGTAACAGGCTGAAAGGGCAGTCTTTGTATAACAGAGCTCCATACATTTATCATGTTAGGATATTACTTCTGATAGGTGAAGTTTTTTTCCAAGATCACAAACGGATCTTCAGTGCGCTGAAACGATCGGATATGGAGTTAATTAAATTATCTATGCACAACTCCCACTGACCCTCGGTTACGGCTCCTAGTAAAGCACCTCACGGATCGCATTTTTAGGATCCATTCCAGTCCAGTCCGGATAGTCTAGATCCAATCCACCTCCCAATCCACTTTTCCCAACTTTTTCAGAATAATCCAATCCTGTCCGACTCACTAGAAGAATTTGTCCAATGAATTGGTGCCAATCTGCCTCCACGTAAAGTTTTTTTGGCAATTTTAGAAACAAATTTGGTTCATTTGAGAATCTTAATTTGCGTTTGTTTAAGTGACAAGTTTGGTAGTGTAGTGTTTGTTCAAGTAACAGGGGGGTTGCTTTCTGAAATTGCTTGGGGAGAGGGGGAGGTTCAGCCGAAAAGGTTGACCTCCCCTGCCCTCAAGTACACTCAATGTTAAAAATAAAAGACTTTGTAATGCTTTATAGATCCCAAGTTCTTTTTCTGCGGAGGAATGACCTTTCAAGTTAATGACAGCTGTCTTTTTGTGAAGAGCTTAGGATTTGGCGTATTTAACAGAAAAACGTCTTCGTAAACCATAGTAAGTGACCACTGATGACAACCGCCGTAGTTGATTGCGTTGTGTCGCCACCACGGCCACGACTTTGCGACACATACATTTGCCACGGTTGGTGAAAATACAGATATTGCAGTTGATTGTCCTTCATCCCAATCCACGCACTATCATTTGCAAAAACAGAACTTTTGTAGACTGTATTAACTTGTGAAGAAATAGAATGGCAAAAACATAAGACACCGACAGAATACTATTTGGAAAAACATGCCATTTTACCATAGCGGTGTGTTAAGGTATCTTCTACTCCTAGTTTACCATAAATTAAAGGGAATGTTTCACACTTCCATGGGGTTTTGCACTGAAGTAGCCATCTGGAGTACCTTCTGATGCAGTTCACGGTCATGCCCTTTTAAAACCAAAAGCCATCTGGTTCCTCAGTTATGCGCCCACAAAAGTGCGAAAAGGCTTATTGGGAGACTACCTCAGTCACCTTGAGATTGATATCGTCACAGAAACGTCATAGGATTGGCGTTATATTACAGGCTGTTTTCTGCTTATGGTCAAAACAGCATGGCCGCTGATATATTCGCAAGAGCGATGATGCGGCACGTGTGATACAATCCGCGGAAGGTGATTGCCTGTTAGTGAATGTTTCGCTGCTGAATGTGTGTCGCGAACGGAAACGTGAGCACTTCCGGGTTGTGCGGCACTCGTCGCCAACCGGGCATTTTTCCAACGCCACTGTCTGCAAAAAAATACGGCACCGAAAAACGGCACCCTCCCGAATGTTATAAAAAGAAGACGTGACGGCAAATCTGACTTCTTTCTCCCGCTCGAATTTTTTTCTTCTACTGACGTATTTATTACAGACAGGTTGGTTGGCGCTTTGGGCACCGGGGCAAAGAGCCTTGCACAGGTTTATGGGCTGGCAAGGCGTTATAAAATTGAGGAAATATTAGAGTAATTACATATATATATATATATATATATATATTACTGAATATTTAACACACATTGTTGGAAGCGCTCAAATCTTGAACAAGAAAACTGTGTCCTAAAAATATAACCTCTTGAGTTGTATTACCGTGAAACCCGTCGGGACTTTGTTTTGAAGGGAGCTCATAGTGAAATGCGGTGTTATCAAAAACGTGTGCGCAAATAGCGAGAAAACCTGCAATTTCGATAGTACCACGGGTTGTGCAAGTATGGGATCACACTTATTTTACAAAAGAGTGTGAATCAGGGGCTTGAAATGGGTGTGATCACTGGTGGCGCGTGCCAGTGGTTTGGATTGATATTGATGTGATGGGAAGTGTGCGTGCGAGGTTTGTACTTCTGAAGGAGGACGCTGTTTTGGTACTCTTCAAATCTAATGACTCGCAATAAGATGGGATATATTGATACCTACCTCCGTTTTAAGGCCCGTGTTTGAACATGACAAGGTAGTGATGTCGGTAAACTGAAAGAAACACTATCGCCCATTCTGCAGGGCTGTTCGAAGGACATTTGCTACTTCATTATGATCTTGCCAACATTTTGAACGTATTGAGGTATTTCAGCATGTAGTTAACCCATTGTATGTCATTATATAAGCAATTTATTTGGGTAGTAAGGACTGTCCGCCACAGTTCATTAATGCACATGCTTGGCATAAGCTGGCATGATACAGCTTTGCAAAATTGTCCTTCAATTAAGACTTCTGAAAATATAGTGCTGTGTTGTTATGGATGACCGTCTTAACACATTTTGTATGCACGCAAGCAGTGCTCGTGAGTCATGATTGTCCTAGTCACTGTAACTTGTGTGAGATGCTGGGTGCTGAGAAGGGTGGAGGAGTATTGCTGTTGGTTTCTTGGATAGCAATTACTAATCTTCTTATCATGAGCCTTGTGCGCACCGGTAGCTACATCACTTCGTTGCATTTCGCCCATCTAACCATAACTACATGCGCTTGTCTTGTCTCCAGCATTGTGCAAGGTCAGCAGGCTTGCTGTGTCATTCCACTGCATGCAACATTCCTTCTTATGCATGTGTTATGACCTGTGTGAACAATATTTTTGGGTGAAGCAACCTGATGGTTGAGCATGTTGCCTGGCTGTGGAAGCGGAAGAGGTGTTTGCATCCCTGTCACCTATGTTTTGTGGGTTCGCAAAACAGTCTGAGCAGGTGATGTCACTCATTGGTTGTGTACTTTGCTGGAAGTGATTTGTACATTGCATCATGTGTTTTTGGTCAGTCATATGTCAGATGCGAACTTACCACAACAATGCATGCTTGACCCATCTTTTCATGATGACATTTATTATGAAAGCAGCTGGGATTACAGTACAAACACCATATCATTGTTCCTTATGCTATGCCACAGTAAAGCACTCAGGTAGTGCCACGATGACACTGTTTATCCGTGCCATCACGCAATGTACCACATTGGTTGAGTACTTTGTGTCAAGCCTATGAGATAACAGCTCATAATTTATGAATGACGTAACAACCGATTTAACAATGTCAAAGGACTATTATCAGCGAGAATGTTGTTCACCGCAATGGTTACATCAGGTTTAACTAATAATTGCATAAATAATCCAGAGCCAGAAAAACATTCTCGGTAGCTCGACCTTGCTATCTTTACTATAGAAATAGCAATGCTTTGGCAATCAATTCATAGCAATGTTACATATTTATTAATTTTTGCATGCAACTCCATTTTCCAGTCACAAAAAATAAAAAAGCAACTACTGCGGACATTATGTCAATATCATGACTGCAACACTGCAAGCAAGGATAAGTCGACAATACACTATTGACGTCCTTAACAGTCCTTGGCAGGTTTCGACAAGAGATTCATGACGCAAAATGACAGTTTTCACAGCATATCGCGTTTTGATATTAATAGTCTGCCCTAAAAGCTGGCGATCGCTACATTGCGTATGTCAGGCAGCCCACCACAGCTCCTGTTACGACCAGTACCAAGACAGAAAATCCACAACAAGCCGTTCACTAATACGCCACCCAATACAGCACCGGCGACGAGAATGGCCGGTTGGCGTCAGGGTTGTTGGCGTTGGTGGTTGGCGTTTCGTTGTTTCGAGGCATTTTTTAGGTCTGGTTGGGAGATGCTGCCAACATGCTGCCAGGTATTGCTAGCGTCACAAACCATTCCATGACGCCACGAAGCAATGACGTAATGGGGCGCATTTTTACAAACTTTGAAATTTTGCTACTTAGGGTCGTTTTTTACCTTGGAAGCTTACCAATAGTTACAAGTAGGATTATCCCATCATATCTGATGCTTTTCAAATGTGGAGCATTCCCTTTAAGATAAGAGTTCTGCATTTATTTGGTCCAGTATGCTCCCTTTGATGTATTTTGAGATAGTTAGGATATATAATAAATAAAAGGTAGGATAGGCTGGATATCATGTTATAAGTGTGTCATGAAGCACATCGCACACATTATCATGCATGATATACATGCAACATATCATATGTGCACATCACATATCACTAATGCACACATGCTATGCATGACTGGTAGAGCACAACACAATAAGTACCTACCTAAAGCAAAGTATTTTGGGCTGGATGCAAAGAGCACCTCACTCTCGTCAAGCAGCTTACTGCCGGATGGAAAGTGATTGTTGGGCCCTAATTGCAGAGAGCGGCACGCTCATTCTTTGAGACACATGAATTGGAGGAGCGGGGGGGGGGGGGGAGTATCTGTGAGGATGACAATCTTTATTCTAGCAGACACCCCGAAATTTATCAGTTTAATTACTGTATCAAATTAAAGCCAACACCAAGCTCATAAATTCGGCTGGCTTAATAGGTATACAGAAACTAAAATCTTCTCACGGAGTTCTCTTTTTTGTCCTGTTTTAACGTGTTCAAGTCTAATAAATTTAATATTTCCATTTTTTCTAACTTTCTTGAAAAAGAGTTTGAATGTCCAAGCTCTGTAGTTGGCTTTCCACCAGCAAATCATGCCCTGCCTAGTAGTCGGAATGTAATGTTTCCCGCTGGGGTTAAGCGGGATTGCCAGCAAGATCCGGAGACAAGGTAGTTATGACATGATACGCTAGGTTAGTAGATGATTAGACATTTTGTTGCCTGGGAATGAATGAGAGCTGTGATTTTCTATACCAGTTTAAACGAGTGTCGCTCATTCATATCACGTTGTCAATGCAACCCATTCATCAGAAATTTTTTTTGTGGAATATGTGGCTGAGTCATGCACTGTGTAGCGTGTTTGTGTATGGTGTGGAACTGAAACTACTGTATTGTACTGGTTTGAAGATTATGCTCTGAGTTGATATCGCTATTGAGCATTTTAGGGACCATTTAAAGCTGACTTTTATTTGATTAGTTTGAAATCCGTTCAATCCGTGTGAACTGACAAATTTGAAAATATGTTCGGTCCTAATCCACATTCTGGTGAAAATTCCTGATCCGGTCGAGTCCGGCCTGCAGATGAATCCCCAGAACGCGTATTGCTCCAGCTTCTGAAGTGTTCTAGCCCCTAGGTCTTGATGGCTTAAAGCGACAGATCACCAGACTGCATTTGAGCTGATGGAGTCCGGATCTTCGTAGGAGCTGATGGGGCCCGGACGGATATCTCCAAATAATGCCGTTCCTTATCTGAGCCAACAACAATGCAATGATCCAAATTGTTGTGCATTCTTCGGGAACGGATAGCTGATGTAAATCGTTTTGGAAATAGCGAACGGGCAAGCCATATAGCTTAATGCATGCAGTTCACCGCACAATTTTGATCTTTGGTCCAGAACATGTGCACATGTGAGCATCCAGAGCACGTAATCCGTGACAATAACACGTCCCGCTACTAAATCTAACATGAGATCGATTTTAATGCCACGCCTCAATCCCTCCGCAAAACTGTCCTCGGTTAGGTATGCCTGTTAGTATTGGTTTCATAGCCATTTTCAAAAATGACCAAAGGTTACAGCTCACCGTGGGCCAAGCACCGTCGTGGTGACTCTCGAAAAGCACAGGACAATAATTCTTGCTTGCAGAAGTGGCGTTCATGCCAGTGTAGAGACATTCTGGCACGTCTGATACGTAAACAAGCGGCTCTTCGAAGATGGAATGCCCATAAATTTGTTGGTTTAGGTCTTGACTGCAGGCGTGACCGTTCAGCCCATTGTGGCTTTTCACAGCAGAACCTATTTTGGCTGCTGTCATCTCATGTATATGTTCCGAATTTGACAAAGGTTCTTATTCTCTTCTATAAACGTCAGTAAGACGGTCCAGTAAGACGGTCCAGTAAGACGGTCATCCTTCCAACCGCCGTGAGCCTCGCATCCGGACCACGTCTCCCATTGGTGGAGACAAACGCGGGGGCGGGGTCAGCACGTTTGGTGTCTTAAATTACATGCTTGATCGCATGATCCTTCTTGGAAGAGGGATCATGCCATGCTGCTTTATTAGATCAGCTGAGCTGTCAACGGCTCTACATGGTGCGGTTAACACGAGGTTACATGGTGCGGTCAACACGAAACTACATGGTGCAGTCAACACGAGCTCCAGACAGGCTCTGGACGAGATCTGGACAATCTCCGCGCATTGCAGCGCCGCATGCCGTCTAGCGGCACAGTATACCCAGCCAGGCGGGGTTTCCATCTTATTGGACGCCAGTCGCCTTCCTCCATGTTTTAATCCCCTTCCCGAAAGCACGGGATCTTTCTGGATAGCTTTCTGAGCAGCCCTAGCAACGTCGCGCCACGTGCAACACCAGAGGAGAGCATTTTCATTAGCAGGTTGGCGATATTACGCCGTGCTTCCACAATGTTAGCTCTGGCTCCAGCCTCCCCGGCGCCTATGCGGTCCGGGGCAGGCAGGAGGCAGGAGCACCTGCACGGGAGCATTTCTGAGTACCCCCGCTCCGGCGAAGGCAGGGGGCAGGAGCACCGATACCGGAGCATTTCTGAGTCTCCCTCCTCCCCTCCCCACTCCTACAAATGGAGGATCTCAGACATGCAGGTCCATGCAGGCAATAAGCTTTGGTCGCCGCCCAAATTGGCCAACGCGACGTCACGTAAGCGATTTACGATTGAAGACAGCTGTCGAACGCTGCCCGTACCCGCTGCATTACAGTCGGATTTGACGGTTCAAAACGACAATCGCAAGGCATCGCAGCCAGACCACACCTAGCAACAGTCTCACCGACCGTTTGACGCGCGTGTGACGCCTCTTTTATCAGATGATCATCGCTCGGTACACTGTGCTCGACAATCGCACGGCATCACGGCCGGTCCAAAGCTAGCAGCAGTCTCACCGACCGTTTGACGCGTTTGCGACGGCTCTTTTCTCAGATGATCATCGCTCGGTACACTGTGCTCGAATCAGCAGGTACCTGGTGAGCTGTGGGCTGCCACACACGCAGTGGCTGTCCCCTAGCGGGGCTCTTAAGTAGGTGGCGAGGATGCTCACAGGCAGGTTTTCGGGTTCGGATTCGGTCATGATGAAATGATTCAGCGTTGCGTTCAACAGCCAATCTACCGTCCGACTTCATCACGGTGAAAGGCATTCGCTAGTCCTACATTAAGCAGTCTAGAGAGGTTCAGTGAAGACGTGGAATACACGCATGGATCAAATCGAGTCCAGAGCATTGTCAAAGGGATGTGCAAGGTCGTGGCCAAGTTGCGGCTTACTGTAATCGCGCTCTGACCATGCTCTCACATATTGCGTTGCCCTCAGGATTTCTGCAGCGCTTTCCGTTACTGTAATTGGTTGGAAAGTTAAGTAATTAACGCAGTTTAAACAGGAACAAACAAGACGAAAACATTTCGAAAGCTGCCAGGATGCATGCATTTCTGCGAGCCATTTACGTCCTATGCTTTTATATAAGTTTATAAACAGAAGAATCGAGTGACGGCGGAACCATGGAAAAAAGATGAACTGAAAATGGTTAGCATTTAAAAATAACGGAAAAGGCCATATGGCCATATGGCCATATGGCTTCGCTTTTCTCTTACCCTGTCAGGAGGGGCAGGTAACGTGGGGAATCGAACCCAGCACATCTGCTTTCACAGACGCTCAGCTCAATTAATACACTATCGGTGCCCAAATCAGGTTCTGCTTACACTCTCACCTAGCTACTATTTTCGTTCTGGAATCTCTCTAGCTTTGGTTGCATTTTCATCGTGAATTTGAACACCCAAAAATCGCATCCTTATCACAATTCTTACGCAGTAATATATATATATATATATATATATATATATATATATATATATATATATATATATATATATAGATAGATAGATATTTATATTATATTTATATATATATACATCGAAGATATCTATGCGAGGCTCTGTTTCAAGAAAATGATATGACATCTGACACATCTGAAAATGACATCTGACATCTATGACACTTTTTGGCATCATGTCTCTTCTGCAGACAAGCCAGCAAACTTGCAGTTTAGCACGCATTTCGGCAGTTGCTCCTGCGCTGGCGCCACTCACGCGAACTGGTGTGTAGGCAGGTAGGAGATCTCGCCGGTGTTGTTGAAGGCCCAGCGAAAGGTCAGCGGGCCGGGCAGCGCCTCCACGTGGCAGGGCACGTGCACGTGCTCCATCAGGGCAGCGCCGAACACGGCCTTCTGGTGGGCCCGGCAGCGAGGCGCGTCTGCAAACGAGCGGCGTCAGGGGCGGCGGTAGCGCGAGAAATGCAAGGCCTGCAACACACTCAGTCGGGGAAAAGCAAGCTGCAGTCGACTTATGCGCTTACCTGAGACGTTTGTTGCTTCCTGTTTTTAGAAGCGGGCGAAGAAATCTAGCGAGGGGCATGCTATGAATACTCTCTGCAAAACCGTCAGCTTCTAGGGTTCAGCCAATTTATTTGGATACGGAAGACGCTCAGATAAGACTTTTAAGCCCGCCAGAAGCGACGAAAATAGTGCAAAGTCCGCTTCGAGCTTTACCTTGCCTGATCACTGTCTTCCGTATTCTGCAGTCCTACTGCATGAGCCGATAAAGCGAGATCATCGCTCGGGTACATTTATTCACTTCGACTGCTAGCTTTCTTTAAAAACCCTCAGAGACAAAGGTATCCTATATACGACATTAATATTGTTTCTAAACACGATGAGACACTCTTAATGAACATTGAATTAGTCGCAAATGAACCGAAGAGTCCGATAACGCAGCGACAGAGGAAACAGCAGGCACATGTAGTCTCAACCGTTGGCAATAGCTATGCCTTCCCGAAACGCTCCACCTCACTGCAGAACACCTTTGTAATGTCACGTTTGCTCCCACGAATTGCTTTCTCGCGTAGGTACCGGGATTGCCAGAGTAGGCCTTCACCCTTCATCCGCTGAAGCGCCGCTTCCCGCGCGAGCTGAGCCCCCTTTGTTGTGCGAATACAGTCCCATTCGGACCGCGAACAGTTGTAAATAGCGCCTGGGCTCCGAGCGAGCCGGCCGTTTTTCAGCGCCAGACCCCGGAGCCCGCCCCGGCGGGGGACGGGCAGCGGCCAGCGGTGTACGATGCTACCCCGCCGTCGCGCGGAACCGCCGCCCCGTGAGGCGGGGCCAGCAGCGGGGCCGGCCACAAGGGGTGGGCGAGCCATGCCAGGTGTGCTGGTGCAATACGTGGCCAAACTGGCCACCTAATGTTGCTACGTGTGGCCAACATATCGGTGGTTGGCGGCATTTGGAAAAACAAACGGACTGTTCCTTTTTTTTTAGTTACTGCAGCCTTCAACACATGTCCATTGAGACGTGAATGCTTTACGCGTCACTACGCTTGACATGCCATTTTTTGCAAAATAGTATGAGAGAAATTATACCAAGCGAAATTGTTCTCAATACTGAAGAGACGATTGTCGTCATTTCAGTTCACAGCCGCTGCCCGTCGCCCCGCACGGACGCGCGTGAGGAAACAGTCTGTTGGCAGTTCGGCGGTGCTACAAGCCGTGCGTTCATTCTGACCCATTCTGGTCCAATCACATTAAATCACCGATTCAATGTGATTCAAAATGTCATCTCGAGAGATGTCAAAGATGGCAAAGGCCTTCCTGGCATAAACATGCGATGAGTATGTGCCCTGAAAATTTTCCCTCAATTGCAGGCAGAGAAACACTAAGCCAAGGCTTTGCGTATCACAAAGGAACACCTTGTTGATAAGGTTGGAAAGATAAAGATTGCCCTATCGGGTAAGATGCGGCACATTTTTTCGAAGGGGCATCACAGCATGCTTTCATAAATGTACAATGCCTTCGAGGCGCGGGTAACGTCCGTTTGTATTACAACGGTAATTGCTAGAATACCATCAAACTTTTGTGCAGCAGAAGTAGGAGACGCTCCTGATATTTTTCTCAGTTCCCCTGCCCAGACTATGTCATAAAAGACGTGTCAAAGTGCAGATTTCTGTTAAAGAGGGAGTAACTGAACGTGAATTATGGGTCTAAGGCCGAAGTATCTGGTCAGAAAGGCCAAATGTAAAACATTCACAACACGCTTTTATGACGTTGACTGGGTCCCGTCTATGCACAGGTCTTGGCAGCTCTTATAGGTATATGAGCATATCATCAGCGAAACTGTCTCATCTGGAACATAGCTCTCGTTCATCTCGCTCAGCAAGTCCTCGAACGAAGCGTACGCTCCGGTTCGTTTGTTTTGTTTGGTTTTATTTGTTGCTTTGTTTCGTGTCCGCTTGTTCGCTCCTGACACCTGCATGCAGCACTGCATTAACGGGAGGCGATACTACGAGCCGTCTCTGCGCTATCTGCATTCGTAAGTAATCCAGGACTTCCACAATAACATCATTCGTGTAAAGAAGGCCATGGGTGTGCCACATCCTGGCAAAATCCCTGAGCACATTCTAACACAGACCTTATCTTGGTTTGCATTAATGCGAATAAAAATGTTCGAGCCATACGCCTCTTTCCGTGGCCACGGAAAATGTCTTCGCACACAGTTGTCAATGAGCGCTAAATATTTTCTACCTACATTAAACAAATATGAAGCGATGGGGTGAGCTCCCAAAGATGTGCCCTTTCACTTACCCCGACCTACCCGCCCCCCCTCCCCCCATCTTCCCCTACCTGCCTGGGTATTCTGCCAGAATTCTGAAATCAATGTTTTTTTGCCTTCCTTCCGACGGGATTAATGTTTAATTCTAACGAGACATACGGGCATCATGACCCGCCCAGTGCCTAAGTCTGAGCGCATCTCTGGTGTCCTCTCGAGCTACAATGTCGCTCGACGCCTCTTAAACACACATAACACCACTTGACACCACTTAACACTGATTGCAGCCACTGTTTCGCAAGGAAGCCCGTGATCAACCTGAAAACGCATGATAAATAGATTGCCAACCGACGTCTTTTCACACGGGACTTTGGCCGCGTGTTCGAGGGTTAGATCGCGTCCTGCAAAATGGTTTGATATGAGTACCCGTGCAATGGCGAGCCCGGCGGGCTTGGCATAACCTGGGACAGCGGAGTTTGATATTGGCTCAACCCTACGCCGTCGTAATGGGCAATCTTAGTCAACCATCGCGCCTTGTGGACCGCTATTTTCAATCTGCGAGGAGCGGATTGAGGTTGGATTCCGACATTGCCTGCCACACCGCCGTCTATCCTCTCAGCGCCATTTCCTGAGTGGCAGGCAATTCAAGCGGACGACGATGGCTGCATTCGCGAGTCGAGTGCCATGACCACCAGCGTTCGCCGACAAGTTCTCGACAGAATCCTGCACCGGCACACTCATTCCATCTTTTCCGGAATTCGGGTCGTCGCATCTTGGAGGAGGCGGTTCCTGAGCTGCGTCGCCGGTAAATCCGCAGTTGGACACCACGGCGGGTGCGTTCTGCACGGTCTGCGAGAAGCTGATCCGCAATCATATTTTCTTTCTGGGCTCCAACTTACCGCAGCCTGGCGCCGCAGAGTGGTATGATTACTCCAACTTAACACGACACTCGATACCAAACCGCGCACGCGGGTCGAGTGCATTCTTCCCGCTGATTGGGAGCCAAATGCCATCAGCGGCACAACACTCGAGCTTGATTTTAATTCAGGCACCGCGTTCGAGCTTTCGCTGAATGGCCAACCGTAGATTGGTCCCACTACGGCCGTCGGCAGGCTGGAATTCGGACCAGCATCGCAAAACGGCCGAAGAAACCGGGGACGTGGCTGAGCGAGACAGGGAAGCGGCCACCAGACCTTGGCGACGCTGTTATGAAATCAAAGGAAAAAGATGAAAGTGGATGCAAGCATTTATGGGTAAAGTTCTGAAATCCATTTTACGGGTTGTACACACCGCAACTAATGGATGTTAAATTTATAGGTTAAGCTAAAGCCAGAGCCAGACCCGCAGCAGCCACAGCCGCAGCCACAGCCACAGCCGCAGCCACAGCACAGCCACAGCCACAGCCACAACTACAGCCACAGCAACAGCCACAGGCCAGTCTTTCAGCCGCAGGCCAGCCCCGAAGATCGATGCCAATACCTCGATGTCAGAACTTAATGACCGGAATGGACCAATGATCCGATGCGAAGATAAGTTATCTTTCTGCTCATTCGCATTTATTTTTCTCGTCGAATGACGGTAAAAGAGTGTTCACAGTAAAAAATAGCATGACAGGAGAGTCAGTCCCTTGGAGAAATGAGTACCTACTTGGGCAATATATTAACAAAAAAATTGCAACAGGCTTAATAAAACAGCTGTTTCCCATGTGGATTTAATTAGAATGTAAACACCCCTTTCTAAAATCCGTGCGAAAGCACAGCAACGTTTTTCACCGATACCAAACGCATCACAAATAATAACTGAGTCGTGGCAAACAGCACACGCCGCTGCAAAGCAGCCATCGGCGGACGCAGCGTCACCCGAGTCCCCGGAGCAGAGATACAGCGTCACCCGAGTCCCCGGAGCAGAGATACAGCGTCACCCGAGTCCCCGGAGCAGAGATACAGCGTCACCCGAGTCCCCGGAGCAGAGATACAGCGTCACCCGAGTCCCCGGAGCAGAGATACAGCGTCACCCGAGTCCCCGGAGCAGAGATACAGCGTCACCCGAGTCCCCGGAGCAGAGATATAGCGTCACCCGAGTCCCCGGAGCAGAGATACAGCGTCACCCGAGTCCCCGGAGCAGAGATACAGCGTCACCCGAGTCCCCGCAGCAGAGATACAGCGTCACCCGAGTCCCCGCAGCAGAGATACAGCGTCACCCGAGTCCCCGCAGCAGAGATACAGCGTCACCTGAGTCCCCGCAGCAGAGATACAGCGTCACCCGAGTCCCCGCAGCAGAGATACAGCGTCACCTGAGTCCCCGGAGCAGAGATACAGCGTCACCCGAGTCCCCGGAGCAGAGATACAGCGTCACCTGAGTCCCCGGAGAAAAGGAAGGACAAGTTGTTCTTCAGCACCCCCTCCGGCTCGGACGGAGCGGAGTGCACCCTATCGGCACGGCGGCGCCGGCGGGCTCGCCCCGCGCAGCGCCGAGCCCAACAGAGCCGGCCACCAGCTCAGGATGCGTGGGCGCTCGCCCCGCCCGGACAGCTGCACCGTACCGGACCGGGCCAGACCGGACCGGACCGGACCGGACCGGACCGGACCGGACCGTGCCAGACCGGACCGGACCGGACCGGGCCAGACCGGACCGGGCCGGGTCGGACCGAACTGGACAGGACCGGGCCAGACCGGACCGAACTGGACCGTTCCGACCTCACTGGACCGGATCGGACCGGATTGGACCGAATTGGACCGAATCGGATGCTCGCCTCGTCCGGACAACAGCACCGGACCGAACCGGACCCGACTGGACCGGATCTGGCCGGAACGAACCAAACCGGAGCAGGTCAGTGAGATGCTAACGCTGCGACCAGTGGGGGGGGGGGGGGGGGGCGAAGGGGAGCACCAGATGGCATGTCGCGTTTTCTGATTGGTTGGCGAGCTTGCGTGGCTCGCTGTGCTTTGATCTATGTCATAATATAACGCTGCTAACATGATGGGGGCCAAGCGAAGCGTTCGCGTCACACCATTGTAACTGCCTGCAAGGCTGGTGAATCACACGTTTGAAGACGTCAGCTGCTACGGAAAGGCATGCAGGTGTTCTTTAGAATAAGCCGAAGGCAATGCGTGCACCTACATCGAGTTTCCCTAAGGACCTGTCCAAATCCTGGTAAACAACGCACGCCGCTGCTCACGCCAGGCGTCTAATAACAATGGGACGCGGTATGCTGAGTAACTTTTCTCATCAACGCAACCTGGGAAGTGGGTTATTGTAGGTGGCGCATCCCTGAACACGGCGCAGCCAGCGGGTGCCACTCCCCGACGTCCGAGGCAGCAACAACTCTCGCGGGACAGCGAGCAAAAACACGTCCGGCCGGCGGCGCGACAGCGCCCCGGGCGGAAACAAACGGGCTTCATTCGACGGCAGGCCGCTGGGAGCAGCGGCCGCGGCGGACGCCGCCGCCGCCTGACGGAGGAGAGAGCTGCGGGCGGGGCTGCGCACCGTTTGTCATCGAGAGGCGACCGCACCAGAGCGAGGTTACGTTGTTCGACGTCTGGTGCGTTACACCAGGATGCGGTCAGAAGCCAGGTTTGCTGATAGGGTGTTGACCGGGCTGGGTTGAGTAAAAGCTTTCGTCATTTTAGTATGGTAATTACATCAGCGGAAGGGCACTACTGGGAGAGGACGCATAATGAGCCAGGTAGAGGCGTACACGGCTCAACAATTGTTGTGGGACTTTTCAAAGACTTGATCCAGGCCCTTTGAATGGGTGGATTTCTGGGATTGTGCTTATGTTAATCAGTGCTTGTTGCGTGAGCCCTGACCTCTACCGTCCTACCGCGCAATTTCAGGCAGCGGCAGAATTTAGTGGCGAAGGTTTTAGCGGCCTAGTTCAGGTCATACAGGGTCAAGCTAGGTTTAATGTATCAAATAAACAGCTAATTACAGGGATAATCGTTATCCCTTTATCGCTTTATTTCTCTATCTCAGATGACATGTTCCGACTATTGATAAGACTGCTACGCAGCATCTTTCGCTTCCTTGTCATAACATGCTTATTTTTCCAGATCACGGGTTGGGGGCCATGCACGCCAGATCTATCATACGCAGGCTGGTCTGACATGTTACAGCTGCCTCACCGGCTGATGGCTGCTAAGCAGCAATCCATCAGCCAGAATCATGTACCAGCTCTGGTACACGATTCTACCGGCGCAGGCTTCTACCGGTACATGACGCAATAGTACAACAGCTGAGTGATATCGCTTTTCCCACCACCACCACGCCGAGTTTTGCACATACTAAACAAATTTGCTAACTTCAGGCCGTAGCCAACCTCATCTGACACATGAAGCGGTTCTTGGGCTGAGGTCCAACGATTCTGTTCTGTTGCGGTGGTATGTGGGCTATGTGATGCCGTCGTGCACTTGGCTCTACCTCGCACAGTTCTCGAATTAACGCAGAAAAGGCAGAGGGATAAAACAGAGGCTTGTGACGTCCTCAGCCCAGCAAAACTAAACTAAAAAGCCTGTGTCCCTCTCCATCTCCACAACGCCCACTGAGACCTTTCCCCACGTAACGGGTGAACCAGCACATGCGCGCAGTGGGGCCCCATTCTCTTTTGCACAACTCTCGACCCCGCACGCACGGCTCGTCGTCTTTTACCGCCACGTCACCTGACCAGAGCTCGGCACCACCGGTGCGTATCAGAGCTCCCGTCGGCGCAGAGGACTAGCCCAGCGCTCCACCCACCCCTAACGGGAGGCCGCGCAGTCCTGGCAGAGGGGGGGGGGGGGGGGGCGTCTGTGGCGTAGGGCAATCAGCCGCCGCACCCATTTGTCATCTGAAATCGCGCCCGCAATCCTGGGGCGGCGACTAGGCGGCTACCTGCGGCGGGCCGTCTCGGAAGGCGCACCTGAGCCGCGGCAACCACGCGGAAACGGATATTCCGCCAGCTGCGGCCCGCGACAACAGCTCAGCCGCTGAAAAATGGCCCAATTTTCACGGCGAGGAATGGTCGTATCGATCAGGCGCGCGGCGTACCCCAGCCGTGTCGGAGCACAGTGATGCCGGTGGACCCGGTGGTGTAGCTCAGTCGGTTGGAGCACAGAAGTGCCGGTGGTGTACCTCAGTCCGTGTCGGAGCACAGAAGTGGCCGGTGGTTGTACTTCAGCCGTGTCCGGAGCACAGTAAGGTGCCGGTGGGGTATCCTCAGCCGTGTCGGAGCGCACTGGTGCTGGTGGTTTACCTCAGCCATGTCTGAGTACAGTGGTGCCGGTGGTGTACCTCAGCCGTGTCGGAGCGCAGTGGTGCCGGTGGCGTACCTCAGCCGTGTCGGAGCACAGAGGTGCCGGTGGCGTACCTCAGCCGTGTCGGAGCACAGTGGCGCCGGTGGCGTACCTCAGCCGTGTCGGAGCACAGAGGTGCCGGTGGCGTACCTCAGCCGTGTCGGAGCACAGAGGTGCCGGTGGCGTACCTCAGCCGTGTCGGAGCACAGTGGTGCCGGTGGTGTACCTCAGCTGTGGAGGTGCACAGTGGTGCCGGTGGTGTACCTCAGTTGTGTCGGAGCACAGAGGTACCGGCGGTGTACCTCAGCCGTGTCGGTGCACAGTGGTGCCGGTGGCGTACCTCAGCCGTGTCGGAGCACACTGGTGCTGGTAGTGTACCTCAGCCATGTCGGAGCACAGTGGTGCCGGTGGCGTACCTCAGCCGTGTCGGAGCACAGTGGTGCCGGTGGTGTACCTCAGTCGTGCCGGAGCACAGTGGTGCCGGTGGTGTACAGGGCCTCACTGAAGCGACGGAGCCGTGACCCAGCGTCTTTAATGGGCTGCTTAAAGTGAGACCGGGCAATCCCTCCCCAGAGCCCAAATTCCCCCGGAAATCGCCGCATAATTCTCGACATCAACACGTCTGGTGCATGCTTAGGGCTTCTTGTCGGACGTTAAGGTGAGATACCTCTTCACGATCCAGGACATATCCTGCATCCGGTATCTCTCATGTGTTATCAGCAAACAACATGACTGGTCAGCATCTGAAATGCATGAACACTTCAACAAATCCAACGCAATCATGTGCTCCAGATGCAATTTTCATTGCCAATTTTGAATTCCATCGATTTTTCGGTTATTCGTCCATAGCTATCTCCATTCCTCTGTCCCCATTGGTATTCTTCCATGCACCCCTTCAGTCTCATTCTCCCTCACTTGCGGACCCTGCCCGTCCCTCACACTCGCCTTCCCTTCTCCACTCCCCTCACGCCCACCCGTCTCTGCCCGCACCCGCTCGCCACAGTCCTCTTACACTGCACGCGCAGAAGGAGACCGTCGCTGTCACCCTGGCCCTCGACGTTAGCGGCGGAGCACGTGTACACGCCTCCACTCTCCCGGGCCACCGCCTGCAGCACCAGAGTCTGGTTGATGATGATCACGCCCGACGATTGGCTCAGGTCCACTGGGCGACCCTGCAGCAACCACGGCAACCAGCCTGTCACGGGGTGGGCACGTGCAGCTTGTGACACTCAGACACGCTCAACCACTCAAGTCACATAAATACTCGTCTCAGCGGTCGACACTTACATTATGTTTTATTTCTGCGCGGACGTGTGTTACTCAATATAATCTCATCAACCATTCCAAAAAAGAAATGTATCACAGAACTAGCAAGTTGGTTGCGAAAAAATATGAAGATCTTCATTCAGACAAACTCAGCTAGAAAGCGAAGTATTCTACGGCCACTGGAACGAATGTGATATGCATTTAGCGAGGTGCCACTCGCACCTCCGGGACATAAGACTGCTTCCTTCCAGCGCTGCCAAGGGGCGCCCACTGCTCAAGCCAATAAAGAAATGTTCCGTTTCGTGCTACTCGCGATTGGTTCCATTATGCTGTTTACTTTTACAAGAGATCGGCCTTTTACAAGCGCATATCTGAGATTGGCTTTTCCAAGCGCAAATCTGAGATTGGCTTTTCCAAGCGCAAATCTGCTAGTGCCAAACAGGAGCTGTTCAGAAGAGCAGGCCACGCTGCGACGGTCGCTGGCGCTAGTTACGACGGAACGTGTCCATTATTCGTCTCAGAAATGATCAATCAGCCTTCGAGTTTCGTCTACATTGCTGTTTAGAATACGCGATATTAGGTGTAGATGTGAGCAACATGCGTAACACGAGTTTGTGCGTAAACTGATAAAGATCATGCCTTAACGTTGGACGTGACAATAATAGCATATTACTTGCATGTACACAGACTAACGTGGTGCTATTCCCCAAAAAAAATTTAAGGAAGCAGAGCGTGGACGGAGCCTCAACCGAAAAAGAAACAGTAAATTATATCTTGTTACTTGGCGTGCCAGAACATAATCAGACATGCCATGCGCATCGCATTGGAGAACAATCTCTCAACACATCTAATACGCAGCTGCTCTAAGCCCTCTCCCGTTTGAAAACGGCCCGACGTCACTTCTCCCCCCCCCCCCCAAATACCCGCACGGATACCCAGGCACATTGGAGCACAACTGCAAGCAAACAGACCCACCCCGGTCCCGACAGCGGACAGTCTCGAAACCACGCTTCAGGACTCCCGAGGGCACGGCGGACATACGGCCGGGGAGGCGCCCCCCCCCCCCCCCCACACACACACTGACGTTGATTCTCCACTCGATGCCGTAGATGGGCGGCTGGGCATCGACGTGGCATTCAAAGTAGACGTCATCGCCCTCCTCGATGTCCGACAGCTGCAGCGTGCGGCCCACGGTGATCCTCAGGCGCGGCCGGTCTGAAAACATCCACACGTTCATCACGTGCACCAGACGTCCACACCATCACCGGGCCTGGCAAACGTCCACACTATCACCGCGTCCGGAAAACATCCACACCATCACCGGGTCTGGCAAACATCCACACCATCACCGCGTCCGGAAAACATCCACACCATCACCGGGTCCGGCAAACATCCACACCATCGCCGGGTCCAGCAAACGCCCACACCGTCACCGGATCCGGCAAACGTCCACACCATCACCGCGTCCGGAAAACATCCACACCATCACCGGGTCCGGGAAATGTCCACGCCATTACCTGATCCGGCAAACGTTCACGCTGTCACTGGGTCAGGCACGCGTCCGCACCATCACCGCGGCCGGCAAACGTCCACGCCATTACCTGATCCGGCAAACGTTCACGCCATCACTGGGTCAGGCACGCGTCCGCACCATCACCGCGGCCGGCAAACGTCCACGCCATTACCTGATCCGGCAAACGTTCACGCCATCACTGGGTCAGGCACCGTCACCGCGTCAGGTAAAAGTCCACGCCATCACCGGGTCCGGCAAACGCCCACACCATTAACGGGTTCACCAGACGCCCACACCACCACCGAGTACACCAGACGTGCACGACATCACCGGGTCCACCAAATGTCCACATCATCACCAGGTGCAGCAAATGTCCACACTATCACCGGTTTCAACAAACGTCCTCAGGTGTCTGGGTGGTGGAGAAAATTGAAATAGTTAGGGGTGCTTTGGCATTTTTAAGCGTGCTAAGGTTTCGCCTTAGCAAGCTTAAAAATCTGGCATCAAGAGGCAACAGACGTGGAGAGGTAAATTGGACGGCGCATTGACATGTAGTTGAGGCGGGGAAACGTGAACTCGGTCAGTCATTTGAGTAATCGAATCACACAAAGATGGAGAGAATATAATATTTTATTCATGGATTATAACCCGCTCTAAAAACGTCACATCATATTTTTGTATGCAGTTTTACCTCGTTCTTTTTGCGACAAACGATGCGACAAAGAAATGACAGTCATGGGGTGTATCCCACCTTTGGGGCATGTTTCCAACACATGCCCTTATGAAACCTCAGGGTCATTTACGCCTGATGATTGTACTCAGAGGTGTCGTTGCGGCATATGGCCACCAGTCATGACACAAAAAGAATATCAGTTTTAATCATTTCCAGCCCAAATTACGCTGCCAAAGCTTTGCATCAACACTACGCTTTATCCTTGCAGTCTCGACTGCCGTTGCCATGACAACTTGTGTTGCAATGCTACTGGCACGAATAAATGAATATTTGGGATTGGCTCAGCGGGCGGCAAGAACCTGTTAACGAGAAGCGCATTGGTTGGATTGAAGTTGACAGGGAAGCGCGCTTCGTTGAATTCGTGGGATGATAGCTTCACATTCGCCTGTCTTTTTGTCTAAATAGCGTGTTTCAAGCTTTCGTAGCATTTATCACACACGCATTTGGACACATGAGCGTGTCACAAACACTACAGAACACACGCGTTGGAAAAAAACAGGCAAATTGACTGCATTATTTTCATGGTGCTGGGATGAGCGTTCAATCAGATTTTCCCGCAGGACCCGCTACTTCAAATAGAAATTCTGAGCTGTTCAGAACGATTCCGAGAAAACTATTAGCACCCATCGAATCGTGTGCGTCTGATCCAGCAAGACCTGAAAAGTAAAAAAGAGATGGCATACTCCCTTTAAAATAAAAAGTTGGAAGCAGCTAGGAATTCGGCTGTGAACGCTAATGTTACCAGCTAGGATTGCAGATTAGATCATGCACGGCTCATCTGCAATGCGTTTTGTCTTATCTTGGATTAGGGCGCATAGCCTCCTGGGCTCAAGCGTGCGTCGCCACCTTGTCATGCGTCGCATTTTTTTACCCGGCCAGGGTATGGTGACCGCCTTTCTTGATGGCGAGAGGCAGGCGACGCCACATGGCCTCAGCAGCGGAGCGCGTCGTAAGGCGCCAATGACAGCAACAACACTTCGTCTGGCGCATACTTAAACCCCATGATGTGTTTCCAGCAGTTTCCTCCAAACTGCCGAAACCAACGGCACCATGGAAGCGGACTGAGGTGAGAATCAAACAGAGCTAAGGGTCTCAGACATTGCGCGACATGGAAGACAGCCGCCGAAGCGGACCGACTGAGGCCAGTCCCGGAGCCAATCCCTTAAAGTATCGGCCCGCTCAGCGGGCGCCCGCTCCCCTGAAGTCCCGGCCCGCTCAGCAGGCGGCCGCTCCCTTAAAGTCCCGGCCCGCTCAGCAGGCTCCCGCTCCCCTGAAGTCCCGGCCCGCTCAGCAGGCGCCCGCTCCCTTAAAGTACCGGCCCGCTCAGCAGGCGGCCGCTCCCCTGAAGTCCCGGCCCGCTCAGCAGGCGCCCGCTCCCCTGAAGTCGCGGCCCGCTCCCCTGAAGTCCCGGCCCGCTCAGCAGGCGGCCGCTCCCTTAAAGTCCCGGCCCGCTCAGCAGGCGGCCGCTCCCTTTAAGTCCCGGCCCGCTCAGCAGGCGGCCGCTTCGCCCCTGAAGTCCCGGCCCGTCAGCAGGCTCCCGCTCCCCTGAAGTCCCGGCACCGCTCAGCGGGCGCCCGCCTCCCCTGAAGTCCCGGCCCGCTCAGCAGGCGGGCCGCTCCCCTGAAGTCCCGGCCGCTCAGCAGGCGCCCGCTCCCTTAAAGTCCCGGCCCGCCCAGCAGGCGGCCGCTCGCTTCGTGAACGTAATGGGGTCCCGGCAACTCGCGTCAACTTCTGCACAGGGGTGTAATTTCAGTTGGGGATGCAGCAACATCCTGACATTTCCGCAATTTAACGAAAGGTCGATGAAGTTGCTCAGAAAACATTAAAAGCGAAATGTCGTATGCGTGCTTACACTTTTGGAGAAGCCTTGACTGTTTTTGCCAGCTTTCATGAAGTCCGTGAAGTGTGTCAATGCGCATTAGCTGTAGTCTGCAGTTGATGTATAGAATTTACTGACATCATTTATATTGATGAACATTAATGCATATCAAGCAACAAACCCCGTTGTCATGGATGGGTTTCTCTTATCCAACAACCTGGTCGAGCAGAATTCCTTCCATGTATGACGTTACATATGCGTGGGTATGCCAGCCGCATCTCGCAGTGACCTTGACACCACTTACGGTTGACCCGGAGGGTAACGAAGTCCTCCAGCGCCGTCTGGGGAGCTGTCGGGCTGTACGCCCGACACCGGATCACGTGACCCGAGTCGTCGGCAGATGGCAGCAGCGCCAGTGTCGATGACGTCACATTGTCGGCTCGGTGGTGCTGCAGAAAAAGGCAGGTGAGGGGATCGAAACAGCCCGCTCTCTTTCCTCAGATACCCGGTTCAATGCGCGGCTATGTCTGCTGGCACAGTAACCAGCCCATCACAACACTCTGGTGCTTCGGCCTTGACCCCGCTTGAGTCCAGTAGCAATCTCGCTAGCAGGGGTAATAGATGCTTCGCGCTCGATATGCCCCAGATAATGATATGGTGAAAAGCTCGGGTGTTTGCTGTTCAGCCGCACACACCGCCAGGAGTGGGAGCAGCTGGCTGAGCTAAGCGCCGGAGGCGACATTCCAGCACACGAGGCCGTGGTGAGAGTGGGGAGCCGTTTTCAACGCGGAGTGACACTGTCAAACGCACTACTCGCACTGTCCCGCAGGCTCAGATCTCGTTACAAAGGCATCAGTAGCACCGAGGAACAACGTCCGAAAACTGCCGCCAAAAAACGGCGCAGTAGTTTGCAGCGCACGGTGATCGATGCCAAGTTGAGCACCGAGCCCGTGCGCGAGGCCAACTGGGCGGCTAATCCCATGATCCGCACCGGACCATCATCAGTCAGGTTAGCGCAAAGTCTAGTCTCCGTCGGGGGCCGGCCAGTCCATCATCCCGTCTGGCGGGTCCCGCCCCGCCGCGGCCTAACCTCTCATGGCCCGGTGCGTCCCACGCGCTCCGCGGCACCGGCTCATCTGAGCACGGCGTGGCGTGGCGGCGGTGTATTATTGGTCGGTCCGCCGGCGCGCGGCCACTGTCTGGGGATTGGCGATGGCACGTGACCTGGCGGGCCGGGTAAAACTTGCACGGCAGCCGGCCACGTGACGCGTGCGTAGCATGCAGGGGCGCCCCGCGGCTGTATGTCGCGGGGTCACGTGCCCGCCTGGCGAGGGACGACCTGCGTGGGGGGAGGGGCGCGCATCACCCCTATGCGGCGGATGACCGCACGTGGAGAAGTTTGCTCCCATGCTCTCTATGCCTCCACTCATGCCCAACTAAGCACGGAGCATTTTGTGGCCCGTGTCAATCGGAGAAGTGGTCGGATCTGGGATGTGCGCGAGGATAGTTAGAAGGCCGTGCGGGACACTACCGTCAAGTAAGCACCAACGTGCAAAGTGCACTAACACGCGGCCAGGTGGCCAGTTGAATGCCCTTCGCTCGGGTGGGGTCAGTATGACCCGCCTCAGATCTCAGGAGCTAAGAGCGAGAGATAACAAAATCACAGGGAGTGTTGACCTGTACGTGAAATCATTTGTGTCTAAATTTGAGATTATTAGATCATGACCTTCGGGTCAAACAAGGTCAACCAATGTCATACTCCAAGTTGGTGTCCAAAGTGACCGCAAACGTTCTCATGCAACCGCCTAGATACCTGCTTTAAGCAAAAGGTCACTGGTGCTCATTGAAAGTCAGCGACTTTTTTTTACCTTTCGAAGCTCATGGTGATCAGAAGCACACAAGATGATTTTTTGCATTTGAATAAGCCTTAAGTATTACGCTAACCAGTGTCTTCCTAAAAAAAAAAATGTTGGCCTGCTCATCATGGGTCAGTGGCCTATTGTGACCTTTCAAAAGTTCATGACGGATATATAATGCAGTTCACGTTAGTACTAAATTTAAATTGAGCACCAGAAACTATTGCATGACGTGAACTATGGATTGAAAAGAGCAGGTTGATTTTTACCTTTATCTGACCTTCATACCTGATTCTAGATCAATGGAATTTGTTGATCCAATTTTTGTGTTGCCTAAGAGACTGTATCAGAGATGTATGGCGTCGTCTACCACTCCGTTATTGCACCAGATTGAACGATTCCCTAGAAATTGTCCTTGTTGAATCCATGGCCTGACTTTGACCTCCTGCTGTAGGTCAGCGACCTCACAACGTACACCTAATTTTTTATACTAAACGATGCGCCATTCCATTTTCTAAAGTGTACATAATTTTACGTGTTTATGCCGCACCGTTTGGAAGTCATTCCGGACAAACCTTTGGGGGTCAAACTGATTTCTCACCCGAGCGTGTGCTAACAAAGTATACATACGCAAGCATATGACAAAGAAATGATGTACGAAGTATACGAAGTACCTACCGTAACGGCTCCGGAAATGACAGTGTCATCTTTAAGCCAGGTGATAACGGGCCGAGGTCGCGACCCGGTGACCTGACAGGTCAGGTTGGCTGCCTTCTTCTCAGACATCGCTCCGTTGGTGTCCACTATCCGAACGTTAAGCGGCGGAACTGAAAGGCAGTAACACTGTGACGAATGCATAAATAATCCTCCAACCTCGTCCAAACTGGACTCGATCAGCTGTTTTACCCATTTGCGAGCAGGTCCAGGCAGACCGGCAATGAGCCACAGTCCATCGGTCCTGACCCGTGAGTGCTCCTCTCCCTACCACACCACAGTTTCCGAGATCCTCTCTGCCGTTCAACAACGCACGGGACGGCGGAGTTCACTTCCGCTCCTGTCGCTGAACTATCCCTCTTTGGACGGCCATCGCGGCACGACACGGCCCGAGTCATTTGGTCCGGCTAGTGAAGGCGGGTCGATCCGAGACGGACCTCTCGGTCGTCGCCGCCGCGCGCGTCGATCGCGACGCTGCGAGCGCATAGTGCTGCCCCGACCGGCCGTCGGTGTAGCAACCGCCGACATGCCTTCTTTTGCGCTTGTGTCGATGAACGATTTGTGAAATTATGTTTGAAATAGGTGTTGTGGTTGGTTTTCTGCTCGGCGCTATTGTGGCGATATTACCAAGTGTTATCGTGTAAAACGCGTCGTTGGTTTATAGGTGTTATTGATTGCATTGTGATTTGCTAGCCATAGATCGCTGTCAAATGTTTTATGAATAATTCAAGCTTCGTGACTTCATCGTGCTGCAATGTCACGAAGCACAGAAGTCACTTCGAGTGATTCCCAATTGACAACAGTTGAAAGTCGACAGAATTATTAACTGTTGTCAAAATTGTTAACTGCATATCACTGGATTGTTGTCTGCTGTAACCCAAAAAGTGAAAGCAAAACGCATCCATCTGTTTGTGTGTACCCACTTCTCATCCAAACGTAAGCACAGACGGCTGCATTGTCGTGAAACCTGCACTCACGATAGGCTCAGTTTTCGTGAGGATCCACGGCACAAATTTACGTCCGCCCGATGCCGGTGCCGGTCACGGCGCGTGGGAAGCGGTGTGTGGTCCGGACATTTAACAAGGAGGCGCCTTTCGTATGCATAGGAGAACAATGCTGCACAAAAGACACAGGCGAAGGAAAAGCCATAAAACGTCGATATGCCATCCAAAAATTTACAAACACCGAGCGACGATGGACATAGCAGCACCCCTCCCCCTCCACGCAGAAGAGGATAGTCACTTGACGCAGGCACTGAGAGCTTAGAAAAGCGTCTTGAAACATGCCGTGCACGATCCAGAAGCGCATCACTGTTGTGAGGCTAGGGCGGTACTACATCCACACGAACGGCATCACATCTTTGCGCCACAAAGCAAGCGGAAGCCGCTTGTGTATGCGAAATGAAGAAAGGTGCAGAAGACGACCGTAACTAACCACTTACGATACTCAGCTGCGGGACAGCTCGGCGTTAGATGGCTTTGTTAAAATGTTTCGAAGGCTTTACACCACGTCAAAGTAGGCAGGTCACTTTGGCCCTCGCGAGTGTGTCGGACAGATTTAGGAAGTACGGCAACTATCGCAACGTGCGCAGTGCACATAGCACGCTACTAAAACTGGCTTCACTAAAAGGACGGTTGAACACGGTGACGGCAAGGACGTCGCCAAAAACAGCACGCATCTTAAAGGTTCTTGACTGACATATGAGAAGCTGACGGTGCCTTCGTGACAGATTTCTGAAACAATGATCTGCAAGGTCCATACATCAGCTTTCACGTGAGGAGCTGCATACGCAGCAGGATTGATTATAGTTTATACTGTGACATCGGCTTGCCACTTATATGAAATAAAGGAAAAACTGGAACTGCAAAACATGTGAGGGCATAAATAATGTTAGTATAACTCTGTTAGCTCTTATTATGCAGCACGTCCCACGCGTTATACAGACTATTTCAGTCTTTGGTGGAACGCTTAGCGCAAATTGGAAGACCACTTCAATGACTGCAAACCCTTTGTCAGAACAACTATTCATAAGTTATCAAAGTTGTGCCAGAGATCGTCGCTGGCCGACTGCCACACGCGGTGCGTCACACGCCCCTTGCCATCAACAGTGGCTATCATCAGGGGCTGGCCACTTATCAAAGGATCAAAGGCTTTTCGGCATGGCGTACTGTAACCAGTCCGTTTGTCTCGCAGACCGATTACAGTTGTGTCTGCGGCTAACAAAGACTGACAGCCAGCGCACTCCACAGCAGCTTCCTTCCGTGAAATGGTTTGGGACGACGGTGACCTTTTTGTCCAGAGATGGAAAAGCTAATCATCTCTGCCATCTGCCTCTCCGGACCCAATATCTGCTTCCGCCGTCCGTTTTCTGCAACTAGAGCAAAACGCCTTGGTATGTTCCAGTGGCGTTTGAAGCTGCTTGGCGTCCAAGGCAGGACAATCAATGGCGTTACAGAAGTCCCCACCTCTCCTTCGCCTCCTTCGCCTAAGTATGACGTCATTGGGACTCTATTTCTGGCCGCCCTGCTATTTGAGATTCTCCGGCACGAATCTGGAGCTGCTCAGCCGAGGCAACACCGGGGCAGGATTTCAATTATGAACACCGCTCACGTCGTAAATACGGTGTAATGGCGCGATTCTCAAGCTACGGACGAGCCCATGCACGGGCGGCGGACATGGCATCAAAAGCTAGTGCGAAATTCGGACGTGATATCGGGCGCAGCGTAAGCCGCAGAAGTGGAATCAGAGACGGGCGCCATCTCCGGCAGCGGGATTAGCAGTGACAGTATCCGTCAGTTCGATGAGCTGGAGGATTCCGCTTTACCGCGCAGTGTGCCGGTGAGGGTCAGAGTTCTGAGAACATCGCTCCTGCGCTCAGAATGCCACTTAATGCGCTTTTTAGAAATGTCAGGACAATGCGGCAGATGGAAGCCATCACAGCGGGAAATGCACATATATCACTAACTAGCGCGCAGACAGGCTTAATGTTCGAGGTTTCTGTACTTGATCGCAAACATGAATTACTAACTCAAAATTGATCCAAAAAAACAATATCGTGTGACAGCGGTACAAAACGGAAGTTAGCCTTGGAGTCAGCGCGATCGGCCGTTGCTCGGCGCGGTGCGGGGCCTGGTGGTGCCTGGGGACTTGCATTAATGAGCGCGCTTAGCAACGGTCGGAAAAACCGTGAGGAGAGATGATGGGCTGGGGGGGGGGGGGGGAGACTGTGCGTCAAAATTCTCGTAGTGAGCATCTCTGAACTAGTTTAGGGCAGATCTACAGTATGATTGTCTTTGTGTGTTTGCTGTAATTGGCCGTGTTTGTTACCATCGGTATTTGTTTGTTAACATACACTACCCGTGGTGCAGGGTCAAAAACTTGTAGCTATTCAGGCCGAACAGAAATTTGGCATCACACAGCTTACCATTCTTAATTATCCGAAACGTCGTCTGTCGGCATGGAGTTCGTCGCTTTTTTAATACATGGCTCTTCGAGATGGTAAGAGTTGTCTAGCTTATTTTTCACAAAATTGCAATGGTGGGGAAACAAGGAATCCAGCTACCATTCCATTTACCACGGGCGTGTGCTTCGCACGTGGCACTCTACAGGCATGGATCTTTGTTTTTTACAGCTCCGCGGCTGTTCGGTAGGCTTTTGCACGTGCGTTTCAGTTACTTTCCGGCGGCTTTTTATCGCAGTGCATGAAAGACACTCACAAATAACATCCTCATCCTCCGAAGACACACACACAGGTGACACACCGACACCACAGAGACATTCACAGTTGACACATTCACATCCATGAGACGGCCAGAGGTAACGCCCCCACACCCCGGCAACACTCACAGATGACACACCCACATCCCAGAGACACCCACAGGCGACACCCTCCACCCCGGTGACATTCACACGCCACACATTCACACCCATGGGACAGCCAAAGATTCCACCCCCACTGCGGTGGCACTCACAGGTGACACACCCAAATCCCAGCAACGCTCACAGGTGACACACCCACATCCCGGCAACACTCACAGGTGACACGCCAACATGTCGGCAACACTCACAGGTGACGCACCCACATCCCGGCAGCACTCACAGGTGACACACCCACATCCCGGCAACACTCACAGGTGACGCACCCACATCCCGGCAACACTCACAGGTGACACACCCACATCCGGGAGACACCCACAGGTGACACCCTCAAACCCCAGAAGCACTCACAGGTGATGTCCAGTCCCACGGAGACTGAGCGCGGCGGCAGCAGTAGGCTGTTGCTGGCCAGGCAGGTGTACAGCTGGCCGAGGTTGGAGCGCTGCAGCTGGGTCACCTGCAGTGTGTTGCTGGTGAGGTCGCCGTTGTGGCTCCAGGTGTCGTCCACCAGGGCGCCCGCCAGCCACCAGGTCACGTTGGGGGCCGGAGCACCTGGCGGGCGGCGCAGGTGAGGCTCAGTGGACAGGTCAGAGGTGGAGCGACAAGCTGGGGTGGACGCTCGCTCCACATGTCTATCGTGTAACTCTGAGCACATCGCAAACTAGTTATGTATGTGTTTGAGCGTGCATCTATGATGTAGGCATCCGTTAATGTTGCGGTGTTGGTTCACTGCGCGAGGTCCTTGTATTCGTTGGTAACCCTCCGTCGCTCCCAACGCCCGTTGTGCAATGTTCCTAAAAACATCGCTGCTCTAGACACCAGAAATGTTGTTAAAACGTTTTTTGCCGATAGTCATATGTCGGGCAGTTAAACTCGGAAAATCTCAGTGGAAAGTGATCGCATTCTCTTTATCAAAGTGAAAATTCAAAACAGCTCCTTGCTTGCATGCACAGTGATTGTTCAGCCACGCTGCCACGCTGCTGCAACCACTTATGCTAGCTTTAGCTTTTAGCTCTCTAGCTACCTTAGCCACGCTGCTGTATAAGCAGGGGCTTACGTTACACCGTCGTAAAGTCATGCCGATATTTTTCACTTAGCACTGTTCGAGTGCTGTAGGAATTAGCTAGCAATGTTTTCGTCATCGCCTTTCGCAGTTTGCATCATTACTTGCGTCGAAGGTTTCTGGAGATAATCGCGGCGGCGCAGAGCGCCCCGACTGCAGCATAATGGCTGACTCCCACAGGATACCCGTTTACACCCTGGCCTTCGGGCCGATCTATCGTGGACTTCCCAACACGGGCGATTTCGGCCGGACCAACTGACCTACTATGCACAGACCAACTTCATGCCTCGCTAGGCGTCACGAGATATTTTACTTTTCATTATTAAGGCTGAGGCTGATAGCAATGTGTCCTTAATAACAGCATTCGCTTTGGACATTCTGAGTGGGACAGACATACATTTGAAGTTGCATTCGCTCATTCGCAACGACCAAATCACTTAACTTTCCTACTCGATCATTTCCCGTCTTTTTCGCCAACGCCCGTCGCGTCCGTCCCGGAGGCTCAGTTAGTTCGGGCGCCTGCCTTCCGATCCCACCATCCGTAGCGGGATGGGTTCAGGTCGCTTTTGGCGCTCCCCCTTTGTACTTGACAAATATGGCCTGTGGTCGATGACAGCGGCCGCGCGAAAGGTCAACTGACGTCAGAGGCCAGGACGGGCCGTGCCGAGCATTGCAGCACGTTACAATTTTGTCACCACATTCTGCCCTTGCCTGGAATTGCGCGATCGGATAATATCAGTGAGGGCTCACACAACAAGCACTGTCTGGCGTGCGCTCTGATCGCAGAAATCCATTTGATCAGAAGATTCTGTTTAAATTTAATAACATCTGTAAAAAATACTTGAAGCTTGTCCGCTCGCTGCGTTATGTTCCGCTCTCATAGCGAACATTCCAACCAGTCATCGCGCTCCTCTCAGAAGCAGTGAGGCGGGAGTAGATGACAGTGGCACGGCACTGTCCGAAACAGACGGCCGCCACCCAGACCCGGGACCCTACCAGCGTTCCACACAAGCGTAGCTGCATTGCAGGATCAGTTCTAAGATGGCGGGCGTTGCACCGCACTCACCAAGCCCAGCAAATCGGTCTTTCTGCCCCACTACCCACAAGGCGTAGCATTACTCCAAGCCATGTCTTTTTATCTTTCGTCCGTTACTGGGAATCGCTCGCCGTTTGGATAGGCTGCGCTCTGACGAGATGAACGATTTGCATATCAGTGATACGATGAACTTGGAAAGTGAGCTAATTTAAATGAATTATTATCGTGTTCGGATGACGCGGGCTCAGGAGCGGCTATGGTTTGCAAGCAGATGAAAAACTTTAAGGAAAAGACGGCGGACATTTTTGGAAGACTCCATCAAAAGGTTTTCCCACTCGGAAAAGCAGATAGCCCATAGGGTTTCCTGCCTTCTCAGATATTTGACTTTTTTCTTATTACTCCCGAGGCTGAGTGCAATGAGTCCTTGACGAAAGCGATCACTTCAGGCATTCTGACAAGAATGGTACGTATGGAAGACACACGGGAAACATACTCAGTATGTTTCCCCTGAAGGTTCTCCGCACGCTCGTCTCGTCACGTGCGCCATACCGTCACCCGTGTCACATGCGTCATACCCGGACCTCCCAAGCCAAGACGCCGCTTATCTGGCGCAAAGACACCTCCCAACGTCGCCGCAGCTAGTTGGAGCTCGCCCAATCATTGTGTGCACTGCTGAGCCAAACAATGGGTTCTTCCTCACGTCATCAATAGCGGATCAACTGATGCGTGGAGGCGCGCACAGGAGACATTATATATATATATATATATATATATATATATATATATGATATATATATATAATTATATTATAATATATAGATATAATATATGTGTGTGTGTGTGTGTGTAGGTGTGTGTGTGCTCCTCTCTCTCTTCCCTTCGTTCTATCTCTCTCCTCTCTTTCTCTCTCCTCTCCTCTCTTCCTCTCCTCTCTCCTCTCTCTCTCTCTCTCTCTCTCTCTCTCTCTCTCTCTCTCTCTCTCTCTCTCTCTCTCTCTCTCTCTCTCTTCTCTCTCTCTCTCTCTCTCTCTCTCTCTCTCTCTCTCTCTCTCTCTCTCTCTCTCTCTCTCTCTCTCTCTCTCTCTCTCTCTCCTCTCTCTCTCTCTCTCTCTCTCTCTCTCTCTCTCTCTCTCTCTCTCTCTCTCTCTCTCTCTCTCTCTCTCTCTCTCTCTCTCTCTCTCTCTCTCTCTCTCTCTCTCTCTCTCTCTCTCTCTCTCTCTCTCTCTCTCTCTCTCTCTCTCTCTCTCTCTCTCTCTCTCTCTCTCTCTCTCCTCTCTCTCTCTCTCTCTCTCTCTCTCTCTCTTCTCTCTCTTCTCTCTTCTCTCTCTCTCTCTCTCTCTCTCTCTCTCTCTCTCTCTCTCTCTCTCTCTCTCTCTCTCTCTCTCTCTCTCTCTCTCTCTCTATCTCTCTCTCTCTCTCTCTCTCTCTCTCTCTCTCTCTCTCTCTCTATCTCTCTCTCTCTCTCTCTCTCTCTTCTCTCTCTCTCTCTCTCTCTCTCTCTCTCATACCGTTTCCAAAGGGCATTCGAATGCAGCCTTCCAACGAGCATCGTCGGCGGCGCCGTGCTTGGTGAGGTGTCGTGACGACTGTTCCCATGTTATGTGTGATGCGTCTCAATCTGCAGCTGTACAGAGATCGAGTGTCATCTGCCCTCACCGACTCACCTCACCAACCTGACGTGTGATCCAGGTCTGTTGCTCACCTCACCGACCTGACGTGTGATCCAGGTCTGCTGCTCACCCCACCGACCTGACGTGTGATCCAGGTATGTCGACAACTGACGTGTGTGCTCCAGGTCTGTTGCCTCACACTCACCGGCCTGATCGTGTGATCCAGGTCTGATTCCCACCCCACCGACCCGACGTGTGATCCAGGTCTGCTGCTCACCCCACCGACCTGACGTGTGATCCAGGTCCGTTGCCCACCCCACCGACCTGACGTGTGTTTCAGGTCTGTTGCTCACCCCACCAACCATGACGGTGTGATCCAGGTCTGTTGGCCCCACCTCCACCAACCCTGACGTGTGTTCCCAGGTCTATTGTTACCCACCGGACTAGCTACGTGTGTTCCAGGTCTGTTGCTCACTCACCGACCTGACGTGTGATCCAGGTCTGTTGCTCACCCTACCGACCTGACGTGTGATCCAGGTCTGTTGCTCACCCTACCGACCTGACGTGTGATCCAGGTCTGTTGCTCACCTCACCAACCTGACGTGTGATCCAGCTCCGTTGGCCATCTCACGGACCTGATGTGTGCAGAACACCACCAACTTCCAATTCTCACCTGGCATGCGAGTAAGTAGCCACTGACTCACTGCACCTCACCGAACGTGTGAACCGAACGATCGTCGACTCACCCCCCGATCTGATGTGAGTGCCATGTGACCGGTGAGCCATGTCCTCTGACATGGCAAACAAGCTAAACGACATTTAACGCGCCGCGTCTCGATACACACGCGATTCGAGCTGCCGGCGACTCACCTCCTCTGACCTCACATGTGAGCCGCGCCGTGCCTCCCGCGGGGTACGGGCCTGCCAGCTTCGCTATCGGCTGACCAGAGTCGTCAAGCACAGACGGCTTCCCGGGAGGCACTGGAAATAGACCGGAGAGTATCAACCGCTACCAGAAATGAACGGTCATGGCGGAGGCCCAGCGCTGCTGCCGGTCAGTTGTAGCCAACTTCGTAGAATGCCCAGGGATGATGGGAGGTCAGGTCAGTCAAGGAGGTCAGGCCGGGTAAGGGAGGACTCACGGGGGACGCGGCCTTGGGACCGATGCAGACATATGTTCAGCAACGTACATCACAAAGTGATAACATAGTAAAGAAGCATACGAATTGCAAGCAGTGAATTGTTGGTTAACCACGCGATCCATGCTCCAAGCGCGCCGTCAACGCCGTGGAGGACATAAAGGAATCTCAAGTCCTCGAACTGCGAACATAAGTCAGTTTAGACGCCAAAACACCGACAGAAGGCGACATAAAATTTGGGGCTGGTGCGGCTTCCCATCTTTGAGATGGTTTGGCATCACCCGTTGACACTGAGTGGTATCAATGGTAAAACAAAACACGCTCATGTCGCATTTTGGGGCGTAATCTTCTTCTACCTATGCAGATTTGACGTAAAAAGGCTTCAGCAGAATCAGATCCCTGACTCAGGATCAGATCCCTGACTTCAGAAACTGTGGTATGTGAAACTGGAAGTCACTTAACCTGGTGTTGTAAGTCACTTAACCTACACAGATCAAATCTAAAGAATAAGCAGTAATAAACAGAGCGATTTCACTGGTTTTGAATGGTATCGTTAACAGCAAGTAGCCAACGTCCTCGGCACGACGTTTCTGTTCCTCACATCGCGTACCTCTCGAGCTGGTCCCAATGTGATAACTCGAAACGCTAACGATCTAGATCAGCTGCACGCGCCCATAAACAACCTTAACGCTGTTGGCTTGCGGT